TAACCTGAGACATTGGGTGAGTATTCTCCATTCCAGTACTACCACGTGTGTCCAAAGTAATGACCTGCTCTCCCCAGAAATCAGACTTCAGAGGTCGATCAGACGAGGGGACCTTCTAGCATCCTTATTGTTTCTTATAATTACGGAGGCTCTCGGAGTCAAGCTCATAACAAATCCTAATTTTAAACGTCCACAAAATTATGAAATATCTGAAGAAGTTATCCCTATTAGTTTGAAGTTTGCATATGATCTTACCATTATGTTGGTTTCTATGTCTAATATGGAGGAAATCAAATCCTTGATGGATATGTTTTCTCTAGTAGCAGATATGGTCGTCAAACTACCCCTATTAGTTCGATGTTTGCGTATGATGTTACCATTATGATGGAGACTTCCATGTCTAATATGAAAAAAATCAAATCCTTGATCCATATGTTTTCTCTAGTATGAGATATGATAGTCAATTGGGGAAGCAAGACGACGGGATGGTGGATACACTCCAATGGGGTATGCCCACCTGAACAACCAAGGGTTAGTTGGGTTCTGTTGGATGCGCCAGACAGATATCTAGGGGTGTCCATCACTGCGTAAGGAAAATCAGCAATTAACGAGGAATGAATATCCAGACCCGCTTTAAACAAGATGGGTCAGTGAAAGACTCGACTTACGTCCCTATTTGGAAGAGCATTGATTATCAATAATGTAATTATTGCATCGACCTGGTACAAAGTCATCACTTTGATCAATAAATCGACTAAAAAAAAGCTCCAGAGGCAGGTATCTTGTGGAGAGGCAACCACGACCAAAACAAAGTCATTCCACGAGTAGTTTGACTTTCCATCATACAACCCAGAGCAAAGGGGGGCTTAGGTATATTGGATCTCACTCTTCAAAATAAGGTTCTCTCACTGCAATGGGTAAAAAAGTTTATCATGTCTATGGATAAACCTTGGAAACGGATGACTTTATATGAAATTAGGAGACTAACCCTACAATCTACTGAGGACACACACCCCCTCACTTGAATTGGGGACCGGTATTCGAGCATACCGAGAGAAGAGATTCAGTTACAGGAAGAAGGGAATAGAGGGGCAATTAGACACAATTTAAGGATGGACAGTCTATGGGTGTCTTTATTCCAAACCTAAAGATAGTTACCCTTGCCTAACAAGTCATTTCCCTCTCGGTATGAGGAAGTCTTACATCAACCATTTTTTTGTAATCACTGGATTACAGACAACACAAGGTGCATTTTAAATAGTTCGACCCCCTTTTGGTCTATATGGGTTAAAAGAGGGGTGATGCACAATAAAAAAATTTGGGATACAACTAAGAGAGATTGAAAATCCTTAGAGCAGTTGAAGCACGTCCTCAAATATGCCCATCAGCTCTCTGATGGGTTGGATCAAATCATATTATCAATTCCGTTAGATTGGGTCTGCACTCTGAAGAAAGGTCTTATCTTGAATAGGGGGATTGGTTGGTTGGGTTCTTGCCTAGTGAAGACAACCAAATAGGCCAGATTGTTCACCTACTCCTTGAGGGTGTTTTCGTCAGTATTTTATTGATATGAAGGGACTATATATTTTGACTTCTATGAAAAACAAGGTTATTTGTTCCGCTCTTGATTGTATTCACAAGATTAGAGTCCTCCATCTACCCTCCACACAGGGTTGGAGGGCGTTTCACCCAAAATTACCCATACCTCAGCTCCATTTTGATCCCACGAAATGAGTCTGGCAAACTAGCAAAAGAAGGAAACCACGTTATCTTCACACACTCTTAGTTAAAATAGCGTTCATGATGTTTTGGTCGAAAGTGGACTAACGGTTATATTGTATGAGACGTGAATCAGACATCTCAATATTGACATAAACAAAATCAGACATATTAAGTTCTTCAAATATAGCAAGAGAAGGTCAGCCAAGTTTACTTCCTTACAATGTCAAATTGCACATCGTTATCTGCCGACGAATGATTGGTTGAAAGACCAATCGACATTGGAACAAAGAGGTCTTACATTTCCCTGTTGTAATTTTGTCTATCAGCCTTTTCGAATTGGAAAGTCGTAGAAACAATTAAGCATATGTTTATGCAATGTGTACGATCAATTTTGCCTTGGAAAATATGATAATGTATCTGGAGGGGCTTAACAGATTTTGAGTGACCCTAGGATTTTAATGGGTATCTTACTAGGTCATTGGGATCCTCTAGATCAACATTTATCCAACTTTCCACAAAATTTGTTTGAAATAGGTCGCAAGGCAATCCTGTGGACACTCTGGTATAAAAGATGTGTGAGGGAAAGAGAAGACGTAACCTTGGAGGAGTCTAATATAGTGAAATTAATCACCAACTTTATACAGGTACAATGGAAGAACCTCAAATCTAAATCGTTCAAGTTTCAGCAAAAGAAAGATATACAACAAGCAATACAACAATTTACTCGGGACTGACTGAAGGGATCATCAGGGAGGGTTTTGGCTGAGTTACTATGACCAGGAAGGGAGGACACTAGATTATCTTTCAAGAAATATTTCCAACTCATCCTTAAGGACTGGTTCACACTTCAGTCATGAGCAACAATAAGATCCCCATATTGCTTCTCATACCCTTTTCCTCCCTCAGAGCTTGTTTTAGTAGATATTCAATAGTTTGTTTGTTTTTGTTTTGTTTTTTTTTTGGGGGAGGGGGAAGAGGGAGGGGGGGAGGGGGGGGCGAGGGATGATCTTTTATTTTTTTGTCTCATGCTAGGAGAATGATTACAATTTTTTTAATGTCCCATGGAGTGATGAGTGACTACCGTCTTAACCCGAAAACAAGGTGCGTACCTTATATTCAAGTTACCTGCAAAAAACGGGTTCTAAGAAATTGCAGTTAAATTTTTGAATAGAAGGTACCCTCGAATACAAGGTATGCACCACGTATTCGAATACAAGATACGTACCTTGTATTCGGGGTGTGCATTGTAACTGTCACGTCTCTCTCTCTCTCTCTCTTTGTATATATATATATATATATATATATATCCCTATCTATCTATCTATCTATCTATCTATCTATCTATCTATCTATCTATCTATCTCGTGTGCGTTGTCGGTGCGTTGTCGGTGCGAATACCCTTACAAGGGTATCCTCCGTAGTTTTTGCAAGCGAAAAAAAATAAGTTTGGTTTAAGGTTTAAGTATACCGTGTGAGACGTAGCGGTGTCTGATGTTTACATTGACTGAATGGTTGACTAGAATAGAGAGTGCGTGGGCGTGCAGGCTTGAGGCGCGCATGATCCTTTTACTCGTTGATGATTGAAGAGTCGGCGTGGTCGCCGGCCAGATTCTTTTGTTCTAGGACTAAAGGGATGTCTGATGATTGCAATGTTTGAAGCTCGATATGTGCATACGTACAGAGAAACGACACCGACAACAATATGGCTGCGAGATGTTTCGGTAGATTCGTGCGCCACGCGGTATTCGTTTAAATAGGTGTCCGCTAGTAAGAGGCTCAACCTTGGGCGTAGCATTATTGGGTACGGTGTCAGAATCTCAACTGGGAGATTCGGGGATCGAAGCTAGCGAGCGGCAACGCAGGGGTATTGAAGCAGGGTGAAGATACCGAGGGGTTGAGGGCCCGACAGGACTATCCCTCTTGGTTTTGTTGTCAGCGGAAAATGAGTAGTACTAGTGACTCATTTTTCCCGTCCGTTGTTTTCCGGCATTTATGTTTTCCTAAATATGTTATTATTTTTGCTACCGTTATTATTTTATTTCTTGTATGTCTCGGCGGTCCTTTGATCGGACGCAGCATCGGATTTAAAGAACGTTGACCAGACTGACGAGCCAGCTCAGGCAGTGTAGATTTTGACTTTTTAAGCTACGCATCGAGGCCGTCGAGGCCGTCGAGGACCTTGAGTACGCACCTCTTGTGGCAAGCCCGTTCGGGTTTCCGCGTGCTAAAAAGGCTGGTAAGATTCCCCTACCCTGTCCGTCTTGAAACGCAGACCGAGAAGTCAAGCGTGCATGCAAACGGGTGGGTGATTAGCCCATGAGGCAGGGCAAACCAGAGTGGCGGGAGCCTTCTGCAAGAGGCATAGTCCGTTTCCCGCGGACTGTCGTGAGTAATGAGGGTCGAGCATGAGCTTGCCCGCTGGAACTTGAAAGGGGCAGGCTGCAGTTCAGGGCGTTGTGGGGAGGTCGTCGTGCCAGCTGTTCCCATGGGACTCCTCCCTAGTGGGACGGTCTTCAAAGTTCTCATTTGAATATTTGCTACTACCACCAAGATCATCAAAGTTTCACCTAGGCCCACGTTTTAGGCCCAGTAGCAGATATGCGCCCTCCTGCTCTTAATGGGAGTTGGATGAGCCACGGCGGCTGTGAGTGGGTCGCATGTTTCAGCCCCATCCGTTTTCGGGGCTGATTGAATTAGCAAGTGAGTTGCTACACAATCCCTAGCGGATTCTGACTTCCATGACCGTTGTCCGGTTGACTGGGCTGCCGTACAGTGGGCGCCGGCTGGGGCCGAAGGCACTATAGCAAGGCTCACGGTGCTGCTGCTGCACGCATCGGTTGTCGGTCTTAGGTATAGGAGCGGAGAAAACAGATTGAGTCGCTTAGTGGTAATCCGCCTGTCTGGAGGTTTCAATCCGTATGAGGAGGACTGCAGGCCGATCGACTGTGTGTGTTGCGTGTGCCAAGAGAAAGAGGCGACCGAACCAGGATGCGAAATCACGTTAGGCGTTGTCGGCGCGAATACCTTTACAAGGGTATCCGCCCTGTTTTTTTTGTAAGTAACAGAAAATAGTTTTGGTTTAAAGTTGAAGTATACCGCGCTAAGCGCGATTGCGTCTGTAATTGCGTTGACTGGGTGGTTGATCACAATAGCGAGTGTGCGAGCGCGCAGGTTTAAGGCGCCCGTGATTCTTTTCTGTTGTTGATCGTAAGAGTCGGCTCGGACCTCGGTCGTTTTGCTTAGATGATATTATTTATTATTTATTTTCGATTAAGCAGGAATTAAGGATTTCGAACGCGCTTGCGGAGAACGACCCCGACGACGGCATCGACAATAACGGCGCGATTTCGTGCGGTAAGCGGGATGTCGTAGGATGGCGCACGGGGCAATTATGGCATGGTATAAGTAAGCCGGCGCGGGCACTGGGAGCCSCGCAGCCGGTTTGTTGGCCCAAAGCGCCGCGCCGCACCGTCTTGTATGGTACTCTGCGGACGTGGGTCTCAGGCTTGGGCTCATCCCTATAGGTTACGACATTGGACTGACACTACGAAGGTTCGGGGATCGAGGTCGGTGAGCGTCGACGCGGTGGCAGCGGAGCATCGAGGAGGAAACCGAGGGGTTGAGGGCCCGATGGGGCTGTCCCTCTCTGGTTTTTATCTGGCGGGCGAGGCGATGGGTCCGATCTGCAGGGCTGACGAAGTGCCGGCAACTCCCTTTTTCCCCCCCGTTAGTGGGTTGTTTTTCTTTTTTTTGTATACCTTTTTATTGTTATTTTTGTTTTTATTTTTACGTCTTTCCGCGTCCCGTACTAGGACGCGATACGTGATTGTAGCTAGGATCCATGGGCATAGCGCAGTTGGTACGCCCATGAACTGTCGGAATACAAGCCGCGCCCGATACCGGATGGGCGGGACCCGGTACTTTGAATTGCCTGGTTCTGCTCAAGCTTCGGTCAGGCCGAGGGTGCCACCTCGAGACTGCCGTGAGGCCTGAGTTCTTCGGGACATCCATTAAGGCTGGAAAGGTACTGAGGAGGTACGTTGGCCACTGCACAGGGGAGGCGCGCGCAGATGTGGGAATGAACCCAGACTCGGGTCAAGCCGGATACGGGCTAAGGGAAAAGCTGAGGCCGTTTGGCCTTTGGGGGAGCGGCGGGGCATTGCCCCGGTCAAGTCCTTCGGGACATCCGTTAGTACTGAAGTAATGCAGGTAAGATTGGCGCGACCCCTGTAAACAGAGAGTATGCATAAATCGAGGGGGCTGGGCCGCGGCTGAGGGTGGTTGGAATGTCGGATGCCGTGGGACGGCGCGGTGTGACCAGAGTCCGGTGTTAGTAGACGACGGGGAAGAGGGGCGATAGTGGAGCCGTGGAGACCGRGGATGGACTTGGACGCRACKCTGGGCCAGGTGCGTGCGGAATGGGAGAGCGCAGAGTCACGGGCGATAGCGCAGTGAGCCAACAACCAGAGAGCACAGCGCAGTGACGGGAGCAGCATCAGGCAGGGCGAGGCGATGGCAGAGGAAGTGAACCTGGCGTGATTATGCGACCAGGTGCATTCACGGAGGGAGAACGAATATGGCTATGGGCAGAAAGAGAGGAAAGACAAAAAGTCATACCCCGCTCGTTTCTTGATTAAAACRARCGGGGAAAGATAGTRGATCGGGGTTTTAGACGTGGGCGAGTGTGATAATGAGGTTAGTTTCGGGGTTAGAGTTGTAGAATAGGTGGTAGGAGAGAATAAGGCTGCGCGAAGGTGGCGGAGTGCAGGGAATGGTGAGAATAGGAATCAAGATCTCGGTCGCTAGTTCATGGAAATGAGCGAACTAATGTATAAGTTAGAGTTTTTTTGTCATTCCGAATCTAATGGCGGAGTCAGATTGGGCAATGGGTCAGTAGAAGGGAAGTTAGTAGTAGTTAGGACCGCGCGAGAGTGTCGGGAAGGAAAGGAATGAATGAACCTGGGCGGGATCCGCGCCCAGGTGCATTCAGAAGATAAGGACGACGATGACGGACGAAAACGAGCAGTGAGGGGGATGGGGAAGAAGTTTGTTTTCGTTCATTTTTCCACGAAAACAGGCAAGGAAAGAGGCTAGACTAAGATTTGGAGGGGGGGGAGGGCGAACTGAATAGTGAAGTCAGAGTGGGAGAAGAGTCAGTAAGATAGGAGTTAGATGAAGAAAGTGTTGCGCTGAGCTATGACTGGGATTGAGATAGAGGAAGCGGGAGATGAAGAATACTACGCGACTCTTAAACAAAATGGTTGAGGAATGGAGCATTATGGGGGGTTTCCATAGCTACGAACCAATCTATGAAGTTAGTTTCTGACGTTAGTAGGTAGAGTTTGTGATATAACGGGTGTGGGCTGCGCCTGGAGATAGTAAGTTTGAAAACGGAAAGTGTCTGTTCGTGTTTAGAGGGAAGGTTCACTCTCACTTGCCATGACAGGAACGAAGGGCGGTGGGCCTGATTGCAGTGCGGGATTCTATGAACGGGCCGTGAAACCGGAGAGGCAGGCGACGAGAGTCGCGCGAGCGGTGGTTTGGCTTGATGCACAAAGAATAGCCAATATATCTGGCCATGTTCTGGTGAACGATGTGTGTGATTTACTCCTTCGTACGTAGGAAGCAGCGGGAGGACGGACGCGTATGTCGAAGAAAGTAGCCACCTCCTACTTCATTGCTCGCACGGTTGAGAGACAGACGTGTCTTCCCACAGTTTAGTAGAGGGTTCCTACACGTTTTGTACATTGGCAGAGAGGAAGAGAGAGAGCGCACGTACCTGTGCTGGGAAGGAACCGGGGTCATGAGGCCGCYACCCACCGAGCCAGGCACATCGAGGTGGGGGCCGCCCTGTCCGGGGTGTCTGAGTTGCCTATCAGTGATGACCAGGGGGTGTCAGAATGACTCCCCGGTTCAGTGAGTGGAGGGGAACTGCAAAACTACGGACTTACCTGCTACCAGATGTGCTGCTTACCTCGTCGAGGTGGAGGTAGCGATGAGGCCAGGCAAGAACTCAGCACTTACCTATTAGTCGACTCATTGGTCATCGCTATGTATTGCGGCTGCTTCTAAAGGACTGATTTGCTAAGTCTGGGTGGGACACTGCCACTGTGGCTGTCGGCTACGGATTGTGCACGGGCTACGGACTGTGGACTACAGGCTGTTGTTGTTGGCCACTACCGCGTACTGCAACTGATGGTGTTAGGGATTATTGACTGTTACAACCGTTGCGTGGCCGTGATTGCGTTAAGGAGAGACATTGGGTTTTGAGGAGGCGATCAGACTGGACAAACTAGGGGCTAGTGCTGCGATCCAAAAGGTCGTCAGGGGGATCGACTTCAATAGTTTGACTACAGTTGTCACTAGTTGGCCATCATTGCGGGGCCCTCAGGCGATCCAAGATCACAAGGCCCTCTCTCACGAGTCTGAGAGCACCATCCTTGGATCTGAGAGTCTCAAACCTTTCTCTATCTGCCCTTCTAAGTCTCAGTCTAGTCCTTGGTTACGAGAGGAAGGCGGCAGGCGGGATTGCAACCCGTAAGTCCGGGTCAAGACTCTGTGGGGAGTCCACCCACCGATTGCGGGARCTCTSCCGGAACTSAGGAGGAGTTCTGGARGCAGGGAATCATCAGGTATACCATCTTCATCTGTACAACCTACTACTACCCATGATTGCCTAACTYCTTGTAGGATGATTGCGGTATGCATGTGTTGTCCCTATGGTTTTTGCTTTCTCTTCAGGACGTAATCGGATTGAATGGAAAGAATGTGTGAGAGTGAAGCTTGAGTTTCATCTTTGTTTTGACTGAAAGCAGACTGAGGATGAACTGGGGGAAGGTGGAAGGAGGGCAGTTTTGCATGCGTTTGGAAGGGTCAACCAAAGCCTGAGCATTGTTTCTACTGAGAATGGCTCAGGGCTATGTTTATTTGGCTATTTTCTGAAGGACCAGGCATTGTTTCTACTGTGAATGGCCTGGTTGCTATGTTTATTTAGTTGTTTTCTTGAGGACCAGACATTGTTTCTACTGTGAATGGCCTGTTTACTCTAGTTAACTCTGAGGGTTTGCCTGATTGAAGGGGTTTAAATTTTTGTTTATTCTGAGGGAGGATTTTTGGTCTAAGGCCAAGCATTGTTTCCATGGTGAATGGTTTAGCCTGAAAACCACGCACATAAATTAAACTGAGTATAAAGGAAAGTACTTTATGTATATTTGCATGTGAACTGGTAGCTGGGCAGTGTTTCTACTGTGAATGGTCCAGCGTTAAGCCATATCATTAAGAAGAGAGAAGGGAAAATACAGAGTATAAATGGAAATAGTTTGGGCAAGTTGAACATTGTTTCTACTGCGAATGGTTCAGTCCCCTGCCCATATTTGTTTTTTCTTTTGAAAACAAAGTCAGAGGAATACTAAATTTTTGGATATTAAACAGCTCAGGGTGACTAGGCATTGTTTTCATGGTGAATGGCCTAGTCATCTGCCCAAAAGAAGAAAGAAGTAGTTGTGCAACCTGTTCGTGTATATCATAAAGACAAGTTGGGCATTGTTTCCATGACGAATGGTCCAGCTTTATGTCTTATGTAAAATGGGTATAAGGATTCAAGAACTTGAAGATTCATGAACTATCTATATGGAATAAACTTGGGGTGGTGAGAGTACTTACATTGGTGGTTTGGTTTGCATACGACTGGATGGGATGACTAGTTTGTTTGGGTTTCAGTTTTATAGGTAGTCGCTTTAGTTGCTCGCCACGTGCTAGAGTCATAGGAGTTAGTGTCAA